GGTTGTGGGGCCTGAACTCTGGGCCTGGGCACTGTCCCTCAGCTCTTCAGCTCAAGGCTAGCGCTCTACCACTTGATCCACAGCGCCACTTCTGGCTTTTTTCTTTTTGCTTATGTGGTGCTGAGGAATTGAACCCAGGGCCTCATGCAAGGCAAGCGCTCTGCCACTGAGCCACCTTCCCAGCCCCCAAAATGTAATTCTTTTAAAAAATAATTTTATTTATTTTTTGTGATTATGTGGTACCAAGGAGTGGAACCCAGGGCCTCATGCATGTTAGACTAGCAGTCTACCATTAAGCCACATTCCTTGCCACATGAATACATTTCTTTTTGGACAATGTCACACCTTTGCTCTCCCAGTTTTTCTCTCCTGTCCCCCACCCACAAAGCTGTGTAGTGCATTTTCAATATAGTGTCTAATGAGAACCACTGCTGCATTTCTTCACCCTTTGTCCCTCCATTTCTGAGCCCCCAGCAACCCTCTTATTTAACTGGTGAGGAAAGAGAAGCTTAAGGAGGTAAAGATAGGTCTTATATTTCTCAGGCTCCAAAGGCTAATCCTGGAGTGGACATTCACTGTATAGATCTAACTCCTTTATGAGGCAATATAATGACTTTCCAAATAGGTAAATTTATAACAAATGGTTGACTTCACTCTGTTTTTGTGTTTAAGTTATGACCGGTTTTAATCAGCAGATATTCATTCATAGCTTACTATTTGTTAGAGACTGCTAGAGAAGATATCTTCAGGGGTAGGACTTGAAATGGTGCAGAAAAAATATATTGAATTTGGATGGACAGATGGGAAGAACAGTATGAGTATATAGCTACACTAGAACAAGCATGATAAGAAATGGTGAAAAATGGTCAGCCTTTAGTGGAGGTATGTGTTAGTGAGTAGTGCATGAATAAGGTTGAGTAAATTCAATGAGATAACATCCAAGATGATGGGGGAGCGATAAAATTTCAGAACCAAACTGTGTAAATAAGGAGACATATCAAAGTGTTTTTCCCCTCTCCTGGGTTGGTTCTAGGGCTTGAACTCACTGTCCCTGAGCCTCTTTGTGCTTGAGGGTCATGCTTTACCACTTGAGCCACACAGGTTTTTGTGTGGTTAATTGGAGATAAGAGGCTCACAGGGACTTTTATGCCATGGCTTCGAACCATGATCCTCAGATCTCAGCCTCCTGAGTAGTTAGGATTACAGGCATGAGCCACCAGCATCTGGCCAAAATATTTTCATATCTCTCTGTTTTTGTTTTGGCAGTCCTGGACTGAACTCAGGTCCTGGGCACTATACCTGAGCTTCTTTTGCTCACGGCTAGCACTCTACCACTTGAGTCACAGCACCACTTCTGGCCTTTTCTGTCTATGTGGTACTGAGGAATTGAACTCAGAGCTTCATGCATGCTACACAAACACTCAACCAGTAAGCCACATTCCCAGCCCTTGGTGCCTTATTCTTTTGTTTAGCTTTTCCACTCATAGCTAGTGCTCTACCATTTGAGCCACACTTTCAATCTGTCATTTTGCTGGTTAATTGGCCAGCTTCACATTGGGATCCTCAGATCTTGGCCTCCAAAGTAGCTGGGATTATAAGTATGAGCCACCAGCACCCAGTAAAACACTAGCATGTATAAGATGACACAAGGGAAAACCTAAAATGAAAAGTCTAGTTAGAAACTTCCCTGACTTACGTGCTTGGAAGGTGGCTTAGTGGTAGAGTGCCTGCCTAGGCTGCATGAAGCCTTGGGTTAATTCCTCAGTACCACATAAACAGAAAAGGTTGAAAGCAGTGCTGTGGCTCAAGTGGTAGAGCACTAGCCTTGAGTACAGAGAGGCTCAGGAGCAGCGCACAGGCCCTAGGACTGTCCAAAAAAAGAAAAAGAAAGAAACTTCCCTGATTTAAAGTGATAAGGATCTGTATCATTAAGTGTCATTTGAAATAAGAGCTGTTGAGAATGACTGGCAAGTGATTCCCTTCCCCCTCATAAATATTTCTTAATTAGACCAACTTTTGAAGAATAGTACATTTTTCAGTAAACAATAAGCAAAACCTCTCCAATTGGTCATTTTTGCTTTTATAGAAATCTACCAGAGAGGCCTTAAACAACAAAAATATCAAGCCATTGTTGAATACCTTCAGCCAGTTACCTGGCAGGTAAGATATTATTGTCTGTGAAAAGTACTTGCCTAAATATTTATATACTTACACTGAGCTGTTTAAGAAAAATGACATGTCTTTTGTTTTTAATAGTGAAAATGAAAAAAAATGTACCCTTGACCAGGCTTTCAGAGGTGTTCTAGAAGAAGAAATTGTAAGTATATTTTTCCCCTGGTTACAGTTTTGCTGACACATTAATAAACTCTTATTAGATGATTGCTTTTATCATTAGAATGTATATTCAAATATGACATTTTTTTTACTAGCTGCCTTGTGAAAGCTGACTTGATCTTCAGAGTAAGAATTAGATCATAATTAAGCACAGGTGCAGTGTAAACATTTGGACATAAGAAAAATTGACATGTAATCTTAATAAGCAAAAACTAGAGAGCTGAAGGTAAATCTCTCTGTTTGCTGTACAAGGAGTTGCATATCCTGTACTGACATAAAAGATTGAATCAAAGGACATTCAACTTAGGAATGTCTAGACTTCCATTCCTTCACTTTCCTCTATCATCCTTCTTTCCTCATCAGTAAGGGTTCCTTTCTTGGTAAAGAAATTTGGTCTAATGATAAAGAATCTGCATTTATTTGCCATGAGTGGGACTCCCAAATGAAAGGACATTTTTCAGCAGCTGATTTTTTTATCATGTATGTTGACTTTAAGAGCTAGATTCTTTTCTCATAGTCATAATACTTTGTATTTTTCAGCCTTAGGAACTTTTCGATTATGAGGGAAATGCCATTCTTTTAGTACAAAACAACATAATGAATGTTCAATAATGATTAAGCACTATCTTCCTCCTCTCAGACATTTGTCAAATATATTAATTGATGCATCAGTATTAATGTCAGTATTCAGATCCTATTTTGCTTTGTGCTTCTAATTTGAGTTATAGCCTTATGGACTTAGTCTTGCTAATGTATCCATTTCCCTGAGACTATTGGATTTTAATTGAACCACATGCTTATTGACATATTTCTACATATATTCATTTTAGAAGAAAACTGTATCTTCTATAAGAAATCTCTTGTGTAACAATTAAATGTTAAAGAACATGTTTTGATTGTTACCAAGGTAGTCTGAACTCATCTAAATTAAATTATTTCTCTTCTGTTGGTAGATAAATCATTCATCATGTGAAAATGTTTTAGCTATTATCTCTCTTGCTATTGGGGGAGTAACTGAAGGTAAGTGGTTTAAACTTCTCTGTATACCTCTCTGAGTCTTATTCTTGATTTTTTTTGAAGTTTTTAATGGTTGTTTTTCCTTTTATTTATTGCTCATGTGGTACCAAGGAATCAAACTCTGGGCCTTATGCATGCTAGGCAAGCAGTCTACCACTAAGCCACATTACCTGCCCTATTCTTATTTTTCTTTAATCTTACTTTTTGTGTATGTGGTGCTGCTGAGGATCAAACCCATGGCTTCACACATGCTCCACCACTGAGCTATGTCCCCAACCCCTTGTTCTTTTTTTTCGTTTTATTTTTGGGTTTTCTGCCTTTTTTTTTTTTCTGTTATAAAGGTGATGTACAGAGGGGTTACAGTTACTTAAGTCAGGTAAAGAGTACATTTCTTTTTAGACAGTGTCACCCCTTTCCTCGCACTCTCCCAGTTTTTCGCCCCATTCCCATACACAAGTTGTTCATTTTTAAGTTCTGCCTGACTCCCACCTTTGCCAAGAATTTAGCTCTTATCAAATTAGTTTGCACTTACTTCTCTGTTACCCATTACTCATTTTGGTACTTTCTTCTCCAGTTATATCATCCTATCAGTAAATATTTTGAGTATTTACTATTCTTTCTCATGGTCATGGTACCAGTGCCTGGTAATAAGCTAAGACTTGAAGACTGGTTAATGAATAAGGTGTATTCTCTATCTGTGAGGAGGTAATCCTTTGTAATCCTTGCTATCACAGTTTGAAGCCAGTTTATACAGGAAAATCCATGAGACCCTGACCTCCAACTAACCACCAAAAAGTTGGAAGTAGAGCTGGGAGCTCAAGTGGTAAACTGCTAACCTTGAACACAAAAGCTCAAGGACAGTGCCTAGGCCTTGAATTCAAGTCCCAGGATGGGCATACACACACATTTAATGGTATCATCATGCTTATTGAGTGCACATATCAGAAATTACCTAAGTGTGTCCCATTTGGAGCTTTTTAGGTTGCTTTTATTTCTTGTCCTTTTAAATAGGTATGTATGACTGTATGCCTCTTAAGGCTATTCTTAAAAATTATTTTTCATAGGCTGTTTTACTCTATAGTTTAAACTTTTAAATTGTGCCTCACTTGAAGGTATTTGTACTGCATCTACACCTTTTGTGTTGTTGGGAGATGTTTTGGATTGTCTTCCTTTGGACCAATGTGATACGATATTCACTTTTGTGGAAAAAAATGTTGCTACTTGGAAATCAGTAAGTGCTTTAGTTTCTTTTTCTGCCATCATTATCTCTGTGTTGATCTAGAGCTCTGAAGATAGTGGAGGGGGGGGTTCTGACATTTTTAATATTGTGAGTTGTCAAAAACTTTGTTTCTGTAAAAGAGTTATTACATACTGTGATTTGGGGGGAGAGACAAATAACCTTTTGTAGAGAAAAATTTGAAGTGTAAGTCGGGCGCTGGTGGCTCATGCCTGTAATCCTAGCTACTCAGGAGGCTGAGATCTGAGGATCGCAGTTCAAAGCCAGCCCAGGCAGGAAAGACCGTCAGACTTCTATCTCCAATAAACCACCAGAAAACCGGAAGTGGCGCTGTAGCTCAAGTGGTAGAGCGCTTGCCTTGAGCTGAAGAGCTGAGGGACAGCGCTCAGGCCCAGAGTTAAGCCCCACGACTGACAAAAAAAAAAAGAAAAGAAAAATTTGAAGTGTAGATTTGAGCAGTAAAAATTAACTTGAAAAAATACTTCAGGCCAGGCCTGATGGTATACTACAGTCCCAGTACTCAGGAGCCACAAGTAGGAAGATACTGAGTCCTAGACCAGCCTAGGCTGCATAGTAAGACCCTGGATTTAAAAATGTAAAGAAGTCAGATGGAAACAGGTTACTCAAAATCATACTATTTACTTATTTTATTTCATTTAAATGTTCTTAACTCAAAAAAAAAAAGGGAAAAGTAGCACAGTAGATTCTCCGTGTATGTTAGTGTTCTTTAATACCTTAGTTGTAGTTTATATTAAAAAGTGTGAGAACTGAAGGATAGTAATTTTTGTCTTAATTTCAGAATACATTCTATTCTGCTGGGAAAAATTATTTACTACGTATGTGCAATGGTAAGTAATTCAGTTAAAAAGTGATTTTTTTAAAAAAAATGTAAATGTAGCCCCAAACAGGTTTATTAAATACTAGTATTATTAATGTTTTAAAGATAATTTACTAAATAAATAATATTCTCATTTCTTAAAATTAGGTGGGTACTGGTATTCACACTTGTAACCTACCTACTCAGGAGTTTATGATCTGGTGGGTTGCAGTTCTAAACTAGCCTGCGCAGGAAAGTCTGAGAGACTCTATCTCCAGGGCTGAAAACATGATTTAAGTAGTACAGCACCGGCTGAGCAAGCAAAGATGAGGCCTTGAGTACACACAACAAAAGGAAAACAAACAAAAATTGATCATTTGCTTTAGACTATTCATTTTCTAGGTGCAAACTCAAGAAAAGTTTTTTAGATTCAGTAAAATTCATCTTCCATATTGCACTTACTTTGTTCCTAATTTATAGTAGTTTTGAGAACCATTATTTTAAGAAAATATTTGTACAAACTGGTTAAGAAATTTATGTGTTATTATAATAACTATAGAATGATCTTTTCTATGTAACATTCATTCCCATACATTAATAGATCTCTTAAGAAGATTATCAAAGTCCCAGAATACAGTCTTCTGTGGACGAATTCAACTCTTTTTGGCCAGACTTTTTCCTCTATCTGAAAAGTCAGGTAAGTGGGTTTTTGTTTTGTTTTGTTTTGTTTTTATTGTGAAAATACCGTACAGAGGGGTTACAATTACATGGGCAAGGTAATGAGTACATTTCTTATCAAGCATTGTTTCCTCCTCCTTTGTTTCCCCTTCCCATCCCTTCCCATCTCCCCCTCTGTACTCCCCCACGCCAAAGTCAGGTAAGTGTTTATACATTAAGTTCTTTTCAGGAATTATTTTTTCAGTTCTTAAGATCAAAATGTATCATAATAAGAAAAATGATTGTAGAAAACTGAAAGATGGCATAGAAATTGTTACTTCTTTTGTATAAATAATCCTTGATCATTGATTTTTTTAAATTCAAAGCTTATTAATATGCAATTTAATCATACTGAAATATGTATATATGAACTAGCCTGTCTATATTTCATTTTATAATGTAACTCAGTTTTTCTGTTGCTACTTTTTCCTTCAATCACTACTGTTTAGCCATAGGTACTTCCTCTCATTTGATTTTTTTCTTACAAATTTTTGTGAAATATACTTATGGAAAGATATGTAAAGCAAATGTAGAGTATAATAATTATGAAAACTACAAACTTTATATAACCACTGTTGTCCAGTTTCAGAAATGGAACACGGCCAGTTTTTCATAACCTTTCCTGTCTGCAGATTGTTTACACCAGATTTTAATATTTCTTTACTTCAATTTTCCCTGCCTTAATACAAGACTAGGGACAGGCGCTGGTGGCTCACATCTGTGATCCTAGCTACTCAGGAGGCTGAGATCTGAGGATCGAGGTTCAAAGCCAGCCCGGGCAGGAAAGTCCGTGAAACTCTTTTTTTTTTTTTTTTTGGTCTGGTTGTGGGGCCTGAACTCTGGGCCTGGGCACTGTCCCTCAGCTCTTCAGCTCAAGGCTAGCACTATACCACTTGAGCCACAGCACCACTTGCGGCTTTTTTTTCCCCTGCTTATGTGGTGCTAAAAAATCAAACCCAGGGCCTCAGGCATGCAAGGCAAGCACTCTACCACTGAGCCACCTTCCCAGCCCTCCGAGAAACTCTTATCTCCAATAAACAACCAGAAAACCAGAAGTTGCACTGTGGTTCTAGTGATAGAGCACTCACCTTTGGCTGAAGAGCTGAGGGACAGTACCCAAGCCCAGAGTTCAAGTTCCATGACCAACAAAAAAAAAAATAACAAGACTAGGAACCATCTGCTTTATATATTCTTGTAAGGATAAATAAATTAAAATACATAAAGAGCTTACAACAGTGCTTGCCGGTAGTTGGACTTATAGTATATGCTTGTAATGAGTTATATGCGCTCTGTTTTTGTCATACCATACATAGGCTGTTTTTTCTTTCCTATTTGTTTTATATACTCAGGATTAATATAGACCCACTTTTGTATTTATAACTTTCCATCTCTGATAATATTTCCTTAGACTTTAGCACAGATCTGATGCCTGAAAATCTTTATTTCTCTTTTTTTCTTGTAAAATGGTTCTGGTAAACTTACAGTTCTAAGCACTAAATAAAAGATTTTGGCTTGTCAGATATAATCTTTAAAATTGTGTGTTCATCACTAGGGTTTTGTTTTGTTTTGTTTTTTGTTTTTGTTTTAGTGGCAGTACTGGGGCCTGAACTCAGGGCCTGGCTGCTTTCCCAAGCTTTTTTGCTCAAGGATAGCACTCTACTACTTGAGCCCCAGCTCCACTTCTGGCTTGTGTATGTGTGGTTAATTGGAAATATGAGTCTCACAGATTATCCTGTCTCGCTATTTTTGAACTGCAGTTATTAGATTTCACTTTCTGAGTAGCTACAGATCTCTTGACTTTTTTGAGGACAACTATACATTTTTTTCTCTGATCTAAAATTTTCTTTTTTCTTTGGTTTTCTTTAGTTTTACTATGAATCTATACATGGCCTTTTTATTATGTTTAGAATTGTGGACATCTAAGTCTATAGGGTCTTAATTTGTAAAAAGTTTAGCCATTATCTCTTTAAATGTGTATATTTTTTTCTCTTCTTAAATGTCTGATTAAGTATATATTGTATCACTATTGTCACTTTTTCTTTATAATTAAAAAAAAATCTAATGGTCTCTCTCCATGACATTTTGAAGTAATTTTTTAACTGTTTTCCAGGTATCTACTTTTTCAGCTGTTGTTAATCATCTGCTGGCAAAGGATTTTTTTTTTGGGGGGGGGTGTCAGTCGTGGGGCTTGAACTCTGGGCCTGAACGCTGTCCCTCAGCTCTTCAGCTCAAGGCTAGGACTCTACCACTTCAGCTACAGTGCCACTTCGTTTGTGGTGGTTCATTAGAGATAAGAGTCTCATGGACTTTCCTGCCCGGTGTGGCTCTGAACCATGATCCTCAGATCTCAGCCTCCTGAGTAGCTAGGATTACAGGTGTGAGCAACTGGCACCCAGCAGGAATTTTTTTATTTTAGTTATTATGTCATATCTTTCATTTTCAGGAGAACTTTTTATTAGTCTACTGTTAAACATTTTAGTTTCTTATTCCCTAGTAATGTTTGCAAGCTCTGTGTGTCCATGTTTCCCAATGCCATGGGAGAAAGAGAGAGGGGAAAAGCGAGAGGGAGAGTAAAAAAAGAAAAAGAAATCTATATTTGTTAGTTGTCATTCCCCATTCACATCAGTCCTTACTTTCTTCCTCAAGTCCTAAGCAACCATTAGTCAACTTGTTAATTTTCTTTTCTTTTGACAGTACTAGGGTTTGAACTCATAACCTTATATATACTTAACTGGGCAGGTGCTCTACCACCGATGCTTAAATTAATTCTAACAACATTTTTCTATTCTGGGCATGTAACATAATTAGGATAATACAAGATGTGTTCTTTTGTGGATACCTTCTTTCACTTAGCATATTTTCAAAGTTTTTATGTGAAAGCATGTGTCATTACTTCATTCCTTTCTGTAATGGTAGCACATTCTATAAATGATACCACATTCTATAGCTATAAATAACACTAGATTTTGATTATTTACCACTTGATAGATTGGATTGTTTCCATTTTTTTACTGTTATGAGTAATGTGACTATAAACATTTGTGTACAGGTTTTTGTGTGGATTTGTCTTTTGGTGTTTTTGTTTGTTTGTTTGTTTTGCTTTTTTTCTGTCAGTTGTGGGGCTTAAACTTAGGGCCTGAGCACTGTCCCTTAAGCTTTATTGCTCAAGGCTAGTGCTCTTCCATTTTCAGCAACTTTGGCACCACTTCAGTTTTCTGGTGGTTAATTAGAGATAACAGTTTCATGAACTTTAATGTCCAGGCTGGTTTCAAAGCTCAATTCTCAAATCTCAGCCTCCTGAGAAGGTAGGATTATAGGCATGAGCCACCAGCACCCAGCTTGTATGGATGCTATGTTTCCTTTGGATATATACTTAAAGTAGAAATGCTTTACTTGCTAACACTTAAGTTTGAGTTTTTCCTGAAGAAAGAAGAGATTGTGTGTGTTAAGAGGGGAGGCACAGTAACTCTAAATGTGTGAAGAACTATTTGTTTTATAACAAGACTGTACCAGTTCTCAGTCCTGTAGTAATGCACGTAGGTTCTAATTTTGTCACATCCTGTTGTTACTCTCTTTTTGGTTATTGTCATCAGTATAAAGTGATATCTCATGGCTTTTATTTGCATTTCCCTAGTAACTATTTGTATTAAACATTTTTATATGTTTATTGGCCATTTATATTTCTTTCTTAGATGGATTGCTATCCTTTTCCCACTTAAGTAATTTGTATTTTTATTGTTGTACTCATTTAATATTCTGGACACTAGATAGACCCTTAACAGATGCAAAATGTTCAATATTTTCTGGAGATATCTGTGGGGAGTTCAGTCCCTACTGGTTGTGGGGATTGAACCCAAGTCCTGGAACATGCTGAGCACACACTCTTTTTTTGTTGTTGTTGGTTGTGGGACCTGAACTCTAGGCCTGGGCGCTGTCCCTCAGCTCTTTAGCTCAAGGCAAGCACTCTACCACTGAGCCACCTTCCCCACCCTGAGCACACACTCCTAACATTAAGCTACAGCTCCTTACCACCTGTTTGTTTTCTTGATCTCTTAATACCACAAAAGTTTTAAATTTTGCTAAGATTTATCTATTTTCTTTTGTTGCTTGTGCTTTTTTGGTGTCTTATCTAAACTACTCTCTAAGCGTAGGTCACAAAGTTTTTTGTTTTTGTTTTTTATTGCGAAAATACTGTACAGAGGGTTTACAATTACGTGGGCAAGCTAGTGAGTACATTTCTTATCAAGCATTGTAGCCTCCTCCTTTGTTACCCTTCCCTTCCCTTCCCATCCTCCCTCCCCCCAGGTCACAAAGTTTTGTTCCTATGTTTTCCTGAATTTTAGCTCTGTGATCCATTTTGAGTTCATTTGTATATGGTATTAAGTAGAGATTCAGGTTCTTTGCATGGATACCAGTCTTACCACTAATTTTTGAAAAACTATTCTTTTCCTATTGAATTAGCAACTTACCTTGTTTATACTTTTAAAATATCAGGATAATTACCACTATAGGGCCTTGGTGCTTATTTGTAAATCCTTCTATTAATGTCATTTTTTTGTTTTGTACTTATTGTTCCATTTCCCTCCCCTTTCCTGTTCTCTCCCCTCCTCTCCCCATTTCCTCCCTCCCCCTCTTTCTTCTTTCCTTCCTTCCTTCCAACATCATCTAAGTAGCCCAAGTTGGCCTCAATTCCAATCCCTTTACCTCACCTCCCATATAATTCGAATAATAATGTCTGCTGCCATGTTTAGCTTAATGTTGAATTTTTTTTTGTAACACCAGGGTTTGAACTCAGGACCTTGCCTCTTGAATGCTGGGATTACAGACATGAACCACCACTTCCAGCTTAAATGAATCTTTTTATGCAATAACTATACAAGAACAAATCACAATGCAATATAAATTACATCAGTTCAGCAGGGTATAAGTAAATATAGTTAATGAAATATAGTTTCTGAAAACCACACTTCTTACTGTCAAAGAAGTTAAAAGATAAGGGCTGTGAAGGAAGCTTAGTGGTAAAGTGCTTGCCTCACATGCATGAGGCTCTGGGTTCAATTCCTGAGCACCACATAAACAGAAAAGGCTGGAAGTGGCGCTGTGGCTCAAGTGTGCTAACCTTGAGCTAAGAGCTGAGAGACAGCATTCAGGCACAGAGTTCAAGCCCCATCATGGGGGGAAAAAAAAAAAGTTAAAGCTATGTAGGTAAGCTCTATACCACTTGAGCCATGCCTCCAGTACTTTTTGCTTTACTTTTCAAGTACGGCATCACAGTTTTTGTCTTAGCTGACCTCAAGACTTTGATCTTACAGTCTCTACCTTCCAGGTTGCAAGAGGTTACTGGCATGTGCCAACACCTACCTTGGTTTTTACCCTAGGGTCTTACCATCTTTTTACTTGGGCTGGCCTCAAACTGCAATCCTTCCTTATAAGGGTCTCAAGGAGAGACTCTTATTAGTTCTCTAACAGTAAGAAACATGGTTTTCATTAGATTTAACTATAATATATTTACTTATTTGTTAAATACCATGTTCAATTGATATAATTTATATTTATTAGTGAAAGTATAAATGCTCTGTTTTGCATTGCATGGATTTGTTCTTGGTAGCTCATGTCTGTAATTGCAGCACTCAGGAGGCTGAGGCCAGAGAATGGTGAGTTTGAGACTAACCTGGACTATATAGCGCAAGGCCAGCCTGAGTTACACAGCAAGATTGTCTCAAAAAGAAAATAAGATGGCCTATTGTGATCATTTATGTACAAGTGTGGAATATTTCTGACTTGATATTTTGCTAAATTACAGATTTAGAATTTCATTTTTTTGGATTTAGGTGTCAGTGGATTTGCATTGAAAGAATTTTTTTTTTTAATAGGACTTAACTTACAGAGTCAGTTTAACCTGGAAAATGTTACTGTCTTCAATACCAATGAGCAGGAAAGCACCTTGGGTCAGAAGGTAAGACTTACAAAATCTTACAAAAGATATTTATAAAAAAATATTTTGTGTGTGCTGGTCCCAGGCTTGAATTCACAGTCTGTGCACTATACCTGAGCTTTTTTGTTCAAGGCTAGTGCTCTTCCACCTTTTTGGTGGACAATTGGTGATAAGAGCCTCACAGACTTTTCCTGTCCGGCTGGCTTTTAACCATAATCCTCACTCAGATCTCAGCCTCCTGAGTTGCTAAAGTGCCAGTTACTAGCACCTAGCTCATTTTTTTCTTTTACCTGTTATTTCTACAACAATTTAGATCTGCCCTTTAATGTCTTTTTAATGTACATTTAATGTACTTTTTTTTTTGAGTTTGAACTCAGGCCCTTACACTTTCACGTGTTTTTGTTTGTTTGTTTTTCTTACTCACTGCTATATGTGCCATACCTCTAGTTCCTTAATGACCCTTGATAAGTCTTTTTTATTGTTTGTGCATTACTGGGGCTTGAACTCATCTCTTTCACTCAAAGATGGCACTCTACTTCCAGGCCCCATTTATAGCCCTTTGCTAGTTAATTGGTTATGAGGCCCTCCAATATTTCTGCTAGGGCTGGTTTTAAACCAGGATCCCCAGATCTCAGCTTCCTGAGTAATAGTATAGGTATGAGCCACCAGCACCCAACTTTGATAAATCTGTTAATAGATATATCAAAATCCCATGTCAGTGGACACTTAGATAATCTCTAGTGTAAAAAATTGTCCATAGCATTTCAGAGAATAGTATATATTGTTGCTAAAATATGTAGGTAATTCTTTTGTCAATACTGGGGTTTGTTGTTAGTCTCTTCCATTCAGCCATGCCTCTTGCCCCTTTTTGTGCCATCTAGGTAAGTGCCTGGACCACTATCTGCTAGGATAAAAAGTATATGCCACAATACCCAGCTTTTTTCTGTTGAAATGGAGTCTTACCGATTTTTCTGCCTAGCTGACCTACACCACAGTCTTCCTAGTCTTCTCACCTATCTTAGGATAACATGCATGGATCATCACACCCAGTGAGATGGGTTCAGACAAGAGGCCTCATAAACTTTTCTCCCCAGGCTAAACTGTGATCCTTCAGATCTGAGACTTTCAAGTAGATAACTAGGATTACAGACAAGAGTTACTGGCTTGCTTATTTGAAACTTTTGTCATAACTGTCACCCAGTTCTCAAAATGGCTATGCCCATTTATTTATTATTTATTTTGCTATGTTAGGGTTTGAACTTAAGGACTGTTATGTAGGTACTCTACCACTTGACCACACCCTCATGCTTATTAGCATTTATACTACTACTATTGACATAGACTACCTGCCCACTTTCCATAGCCTTGCACCAATCCTGGAAAGTACGAATTTTTTTAAACTCTTTCCTAATTGATAAAAATATTTGAAAATTAAGTTTTTTTGTTTTACATTTCTTTGATTATTGTCAAAGTTAAAGAATTTATATGTGGACTGGAAGTTTTCTTCAATGAATTGCCTCTTAGTATATATTTCTAAAACATTTACTATAGACTAGAGAGGATCTTTTGGCCTTGCTTTGAGACATAACTAGTTTGAGACTCCCCCCGGCCCCCACTAGTCCTAGGGCTCAAACTCAGGGTCTGGGCACTCTCCCTGAGCCTCTTTGTGCTGAAGACTAACACTCTACCACCTGAGCTACAGCTCCACTTCTGGCTTTCTGGAGTAGCTTATTGGAGATAAGAGTCTCATGAGGACTTTTCTGCCTGGACTGGCTTCAAACCATGATCCTCAGATCTCAGCCTCCTGAGTAGCTGGTGTGAGCCATGGGCTTGGTTTGAGTCTTAAGACTGTGTTATGTTCTTGTCATACTTTTCGTATGTTCTTGGATCCTATCATATAGAATTCCCATTGACTTAAACATTATAGATCTGGATAGTTACTGTAACTAGACATCTCTAAATGGTTCTCAGAGTGTAATTGGCCTAATATTGTAGCATTTACCTTCTGGCTGCTTCATGACAAGCTGTCCATTTTTTTAAATTCAGCACTCTGAGGATAGAGAGGAAGGAATGGATGTAGAAGAAGGTGAAATGGGAGATGATGAAGCTCCAACTACTTGGTAAGTTTTTAGAGCTTAAAATTTCTTAATTTACAAATATAATTCTTTAGTAACCTATCAAATACCATATTAAAGATATAAACAAGGAGGTAGTAAACAGAGCTTATAGATTTAACATATTTGTGTGTATCTATACATATGTAGGTATATATTCATATAAAGTTTTATGTGTATAAAACTTTAATGTCTAATAATAAATCCTAAGTCGGGCAACAGTGGCTCATGCCTATAATTCTGGCTGCTCAGGAGGCTGAGATCTGAGGATCGCGGTTCAAAGCCAGCCTGGCAGGAAGTTCCTGGAGACTCTTATCTCCAAGTAGCCACTAGAAAACTGTAAGTGGTGCTGTGGCTCAAGTGGTAGAGTATTTGCCTTGAGCTGAAGAGCTTGGGGACAGTGGCCAGGCCCAGAGTTCAAGCCCCATGACTGACAAAAAGTAAGAAATACTGTGTCGTTAATAGGCTGTATCAGTTGGTTTCCAGCTAGTTCATTGTTTCCTTAGACTGCCATATGCATGTGCCTAGTATTTAGGAATTCCTTCCCTTCTCCCTTCCATTAAACTTGTAGACCCTGCTGCCTGTGGGTAATAGACTTCCAATGAAATGGAAGTGGTAAAAAACTTCCTTTTGCACTGTCTCTTGTCTTTGCTCTTACTACTATGTCTTTTCTCATCTTCTATAGGCCTTGAGTCTTCTTTCCAAATAGTTTCCTCAAAGTACTAGTAGGAAGCAGTGAGGAAGATAAGGAAGATATAAAGAAAAATTTTTTCACTAGTACACTTCCAGGTGTAATCAAAAGAATTTCTGTTATTACTGCTAAAAGACCAAGAAGGGATTCCTCTGTCTTCCCAGAGAAATTCATTCCAGCTATCTCAGATTTCAAATTCAACCACATATCCCCAAATTAAACATTTAGAAGTAATGTGGCTCCAAGTTTATTCTTTTTTTTTTGGGGGGGGGGTCCAGTCATGGGACCTGAACTCTGGGCCTGGGCACTGTCCCTCAGCTCTTCAGCTCAAGGCTAGTGCTCTACCACTTGAGCCACAGCACCACTTCTGGCTTTTTTTTTCTTTTTGGCTTAGTGGTGCTGAGGAATCGAACCCAGGGCCTGATGCATGCAAGGCAAGCTCTCTACCACTGAGCCACCTTCCCAGCCCTCCAAGTTTATTCTGAAGACTTCATAGTCTTGTGACCTTGAGCAACTTAATTGCTCCCTACAATTCAGTTTTAATTTTTAAAGATGCTCACTATAGTTTTTTGAGAAAAATGTCAGAAGTAATCTGATAAGGCATTTGTTAGTTATTATTGTTACAGTTGTTGATGTTACAAGTAGAGAATGGAAAGCACTTCAAGAAGTATCTGTTCAGTGACCAGTAACTACCTGTTATTTAGCTGTAGTTGCTATTTTTTTAGAGGCCTATTTACTTAAGCACAGTATAGATGGAGTAGGTTTTTGGGGTCTGGCCTGAACAACTCTGGGCTAAGGTAGTAGAATTTTAAGTAACGGGTTGCCTAAAGTGTAAACAAAGCCCCTAAAGACATTTTGATTATGATTATTTACTAATCCCAGCTGCAGAAAAGTTCCTTAAATAGGACCTAGCACTCAGCTGTCTGTCTCTTGCAATCATTATTTTTCTGCATGAATGAAGAAAGTATGTGGAAATTACTTAGTAAGCAACCATCTCACTACATAGTCTTGGAATTGTAGTTTGCAGAACAAGACACGTTACCCATGATTACTTACAGTATGAAGTCTATTTCAGATTTGGTTCAAATGCCTTAGTAAAAGTATCTCAATAGTTGAAAAAATCAAGTTTTATAGAGTATTTTTGCTAAAATACTTAAAAGACAATCTATGGTTTTCGTTGTTGTTGAAATTGAATTTTGCTTTGTTGAAGAGGCTGAACTGAATTCCCAAACTTAGATACTCTCTTGCCTCATCCTCAAAAATCTACTTAGCTGGAACTTAATCACAGTCAACTAGACCTGGCTTCAAACATTCTATTTAAGATAGTTAATCTCACCTCTAATTTTTTATTATTTACAAATACCTTCAATAGTTAAGTATGCTTTGTGTGGATAAATAGGGAATGTAAAAGTTTCTATGGAATGGTGACAGTGGAAGGTAAATTGCAGTAGATGACTTTTGAGTAGAAAATAATGAAGTAATGGTATGGACTATAGACCATTTAAGAAGTTTATTTAGCTATGAAGGAAAAGCAAAGGAAAATATAACCATCATGAAAGTAGCTTTTTAAAAACATTTGTGCCTCAACTGTAAAAGTTCCCTAGCTGGATGCCAGTGGCTGACACCTGTAATCCTAGCCACTCAGGAGGCTGAGATCCAAGAATAGCTGTTTGAAGCCAGCCCAGGCAGAAAAGTCTATGAGACTCTTAACCTCCAAGTAAATGCCAAAAAGCCAGAAAGTAGCTCAAGTGGTAGAGCACTAACCTTGTGCAGAAAAACTCATGGACAGCATCCAGGCCCTAAGTTCAAGCTCCAGGTCCAACATTCTGCTCCCTCTTCCCCTCCCCCCAAAAAAAGTTTCCTAATGTATCTCAGTTTGGAGCCCACCCAGGCAGACATATCCAAGAAGGTCTTCTCTTTAATTAACCAGCAAAAGACCAGAAGTGAAGGTGTGGCTCATATAATAGAATGTCAGCCATGAGCAGAAAAGGCCAAGTGAGAGAGTGAGGTCCTAAATTCAAACCCCAGTACTACAATCAAAAGGTCTGTTGGGGGGGGGAGGAGAATGGGAGGGCAGGGATGGTAAGGGGAAACAAAGGAGGAGGCAACAATGGGGCTGGGAAGGTGGCTCAGTGGTAGAGCGCTTGCCTTGCATGCATGAGGCCCTGGGTTCAATTCCTCAGCACCACATAAGC